CGGAGGGCGCCGGCGGCGACGCCGTCAAGCGCGGCGACGCCGTGCGGTTCAAGTACCGCGTCATGCGCCTGGGCAAGCGCGCGACGGACAACCTGAGCGGCGAGGCGTCGCCGGTCTTCTCCCTGGGCTACGGCGAGGACGACGACTCGGAGAAGGACTTCCTGAGCGCGCGCGTCGGCGGCGGCCAGCTCATCCCGGCGCTCGACAGCGCGATCGTCGGCATGCGGCCCGGGGGCCGGCGCCGCCTCTTCGTCGTCCCGGAGAAGGGCTGGAAGAAGATCAACTCGAGCTGCTCCGCCGAGTCCAACGGCGCGTCCAACGCGGGCGACGCGTCCGCGGGCCTCGCCGACATCGCGGGCCAGGCCATCGTGCCGCTCGCGCAGATGGTCGACAACGGCGCCTGCATCGAGGACGCGCTCCTGCCCCAGCCGGCGAACTTCGGCGCCAAGCGGCGCCTCGCGCGGCGCTTCGACGAGGGGCTGCTGCTCGAGGTCGAGGTGCTGGCGAAGTAAGCTCGAACTTTGCGGACTCCGTGGTACGTGAGCGACGCGTCCTAGAGAGAGGGCCCGACGGCGCCGCGGATTGTCCGCGCTCGTCAAGCGCGCGCCGCTGCGCGCCGCCATCGCGACGCTGTGGGTCGACGAGCCGGCGAACGATGGACGCCGGCTCTTGCCGCGCGCGTTCCGACGGCGCTGGAGCATCTCGGCGTTCCTGCGCGCGGTCCGCGCGGCGACGGAGATGCCCGCGCGCGTCGGCGCGTCGAACGCGGATTCCGAGGCGCAGCGGCGCATCTGCGACCCGTCGAGGCGCGTCGGCGTGCTCAACTCGACGGCGGATGGACGTCGCGGGCGCGGCGGCATCTCGAGCGGCCGGGCTCGAGTGGCGACGTCGCCGCGCTCCAGGAGGGCGAGTCGCCGGCGAACGGCGCCGGTGGCGGAACGTCGCGGTCGTGTGTGGTGTGGTCTTAGGGGTGTGGGCGGGGGTGAGGGGGGGGCGACCGGCGAGTGAGCTTGAAGTCGTCGAGGGAGGCGTGCGCCCTAGTTAGCAGGGGCCATCCGCGCTCGCGTCAGCCCAGGACGGGCAATCCTGAAGATTCGAGAGGTAGAACGCATTGGTCATGGTCGTCACCTTCGACACGTCCCAGGCGCTGATGTTCTGGTCGAAGGCGAAGGCTTGGGCGAACGTCCCCTTCATGTTCGTCACCGACGACACGTCCCAGGCGCCGATGGGATAATTGAAGGCAACGGCGTCGTAGAACATGTTGCTCATGGTCGTCACCTTCGACACGTCCCAGGCGCCGATGTCCGCGTTGAAGGCGTCGGCCCAGTAGAACGCGTAGTTCATGTCCGTCACCTTCGACACGTCCCAGGCGCCGATGTCCGCGTTGAAGGCGGCGAATCTATCGTATCCCCAGAACGTGCCAGCCATGGTCGTCACCTTCGACACGTCCCAGCCGCCGATGGGCGCGTTAAAGGCGGCGGG